AGTTTTCTACCAGCGTAACTATCTGATCTGGCTCAAGGTCAGACAAGCACTGCCACCACTGCAATGGAAGAGCTGGGAGAGCTAAGGGGGACGGCAGCAGCCCCAACCACGGACACAGCCATGCCGTGGTTTTTAAAATGCTGCCTAGCAGCTGCTGTGCTTCATGGGAAGGTGGTTAAAATCAGATATTCACAACATTAAATAAAGGCAAAATGTTTTAACTATGTGATGGGCTGGTGGTTTTCTTGTGCAAACACATATTAAGCTTCCTTTTACAATTTGGAAATTATATAAAATTTTAAAACTGAAGCTTCTTTCCTGTTCTTTGAAAACTCATTTGTCTGTGATGAGAATAACAACACCGCTCTGTTGTGGTCTGCTTGTTTTACTAACCAGTGAACATACTTCCAAAGGAAATGGTAAAACAGAAACATTTTCATTTCATACTTGGGAAAAAAACAACCTCAAATACACTCTCATGTCATCTGCCTAAATCTTGTTTGGACAGCTTGCACAGCTCACAATCTTGCTGTTATCACTACCTCCTCTGAATTAGAGCACAAGCAGGAAGATAAATATAATACTGCAATATACGGCTCGATACCAAAGAAGATCACTCTGCTGTGACATGGCTCGCACTTCAGCTCTAACACAATGATATGGTTATCTAGGGTTTGAGGAGACTGAACAGCCTGTAATATATTAACACACTTTTCATTTCAGAGATAGTGTCAGGAGCTGAAAAACAACTCCAGTTCGCCATGCCACTTTGGTTATTTCCTCTCCAGTATCAGGTGTTTTCTCCCCTCTGATCCCCACACCAGATTTGTGGGAGCAGCGACACACTTGCCCTGCACAAGCAGAGCAACGTGAACGGGAACCAAATGCTGGGATTAAGATCTAGTGAGAAGAGCCCATATGGGCACTTTTTCTGCAGCTTCAAATATTAACATTATAAAAGACAACTTGCAGCAACTCCTGTTTTTAAGTTTCTCAAAGGAGCTTTGAGATCATTTTAAGAAACTCACCGCCTGTAAGACATTTGACATCCAGAAAAGAGAACAGTCTCTGGCTGCAGAAGTGCTTTTTCTTTCCACCAAGCCTACATTTAAAGTGTCAGTGACACAGTGAGGAGAGGGTGATGCACAGCTCGGGGTTTCCTTTAGGGTTTTCTTTTTAACTGACCCAGCTGCAAGCCTGGTGCATGGCTACAGCTTCAGCTTTCCCTGAAACCAGTCATGCTTTAGCTTGTGTGGCCAGCTGCTGAATTGGCAAAAGCTACCTCTGCAAAACCACTTTTGCCAGAACACCTTTTTGTGTTTGCCTTAGAGGCAAAAATGTAGATAAAGCTTTTGCCAATGATATCTTGGTATATTGAAGCAGACATTACAGAGTGATAAAATAAACTATCGTTTCCTCAGTGTTTTAGCTCTCCAGTGCAAGAGCAGAATTTGCTCCTCACGAAGGAACTCAACAATAGGTGGGTAAGTGTGAGGAGAAAAGCAGCAATGCCTCTTTCAGCTCCTCTATAAGCCATGGGATGTGCAGAACTATAAAAAAGTGGGGAAAAAGAGAGATGGAAAAGACATTTCTACAAGGATTGAAAGCATTCCTGGAAAGAGGAGAAGCAATTAACACACACACGGGAAAGCTCCTCAGTTAGGATGACATTACTAACTTCTTTTTTTGTCTTTGGTTACTAAAAATATTTTTACAGGGAGTATTAAAAAAAGGAAAGACCTGGAAAGACTAAAACCCACATGTGGCTGTTCCCTCCTGCTTAGCATGCTTGTTAATCCCACAGGTCTTGCTGAAGTGAAAAGACAAATACAAAAAAAAAAAAAGGTGATGGGGAGCACACATACTTCATTACAAACTGGTACTTGACATTGGTCTTAGTTACAGAAAAGTTTTAAGATGCTGGTGACTAACATAACTCTCTAATCCTTGACTGGCTTCAGAAACCCTTGCCATAAGGTCAAGGTCAGAACAAAGTTAGTGCCTTAATAAAAGAGGGAATACGGCATCTCTAATGATTGCTTCTGGCTGTTTTTCTCCTTACCTATAATAATGCCACAGTGATTGTTTGCTTTCTTAAAGTGATGTAGAGCTCTTTGCTTTACCTGCTGACAGACCCTCACTGCCCACCCTGAGGGACAGCCAGGGACCTGACAATGGACTCGTGAGATGGATGTTTCATGCTGAAGACCACAAATTTAGGGCTGTCTTCACAGGGAAGTTCAGTGAAGGTGGAAGAATCCTGTTAGCATGCAATTGCATAGTACCTTAGATAACCTACTATTTATTTTAATGTTATCCACCTGAGGGAGGCTCCACTAATGAATCTATTTTTGTAGTACCATAAAGGTTGAAGTTTACAGCTAAGTTTAGAGCAGAGACATATAAAAAATGTCAAACCAGGAAACAGCTTAATGAAAGCAGAGAGTAATCACAGCAAATTACAGTGAAATTTCTATGGGATTACATTTTGCATTCCCCAAACATGCAGATGAATTCATTTCACTTAGCGTTGTTCCATTTTGCTGAGAATTCACTGTAAGGTTATGCTATGTAAATAACATAATGCAATGCCATAAAAGCTGTCTTAAAAGTTACAGTCTAAGATGCTTTTCAAAACAGAGTTCAGATATCTTCCCACTGCAGTCCATGGAAAAATAGCAAGATACGCCACAAAATATCACAGAGAAAAAAAATTAATGGCAATATTAGAAGGAATACAAGGCACATTTTATTTTGTGGCTACCAATAATGAGATCCTTTTCTAAACTCCAACGTTTAGAAACCAACCAGCAGTGGATGTGGTAGGGAAGCTCACCCCAGGAGAAGCAAGCTGGTTTTCCCAGCGTGCTTCCAAAAATCACTGCAGAATTTGAACTCTTCCCACTGGCAAACCCAGGTTCTGCACGAGGGGCATCTAGGAATTCCCCTGTGGTCAGCACCTCACCTAGCTTCCTTGAATACCTCCTCTGAAACAGTACATATACAGTTTGCATATACATGTACAGTATATATACCTTCTTTTCCCATGCTTCAGGTTATCTTTCTTTCACCCTGGCTTTACAGCCCCCAGTCCCATTACAAAATAAAAGCAATTTCACATCGCTTTTTACCATAAGTAGTGATTTACATATGTGTAGATATATACATATTTTTCAGTAGGTTTCCAACATGAGAAAAAGCTGGGAACTTTTGGCCTCACTCTGTTACTACTGCACAGCTCTGGATGGTTAGTTTAGTGAAGAAAACATGTTGACTTTGGGGTAACAATGTCACTGAAAATCTCTCAAGGCTAATTCTTGATGACAGCCACTGTAAATGCACTGGAACATGCACAGAACTGCAGCCTGGCGCTATTAAAGGCAACACAAGTTTCACCACTAAATAGGACCTTGAACTGGTCCATAATGAGTAACATGAAATAAGATGTCTGTCCAAAAGGCAAAAAAACGAGGAGAAAGAAGTGTGTGAACGGGATATTGTATATTAACTGTAAGGAGAGGAAATTCATAAAGCAGAAGCATGCCATGTGTTTCCTTAAAATGACCTGTGGATATTTTACACATAAGGTATACATGATTCAGTACGGAGCAGTTACCCTTTCAGAGGAGACTATGTTGCAACAGAAAAAGCTTCTTATATTCAGTTTTTCATAAGTTTATAGAAATGTATATAAAAGGGAAAACTACTAAAGATCCCACAGCTGTACGGTTTAATATTGTAAAAATTTATTTACCAATGCTTTGGTGTTTTAACCCCAAATTATTCCCCCAAATTTTTACATTTTCTACAGCACTAAGCCACAGAGTTGTGCTGTCCTCGCCACTCTGCAAGCTTGGAGGGAGGGACAGGAACACATGCAAAATTTGCCTGAAAGGTTTTGCAATCTTTGCCTCACCACAAGTGGTGTGGACTGACCTGTGTTTTGCTAAAAATTAATGGTGTGCCTTCTTAAAGCATGTTAGATAGAAACACGGCACCTGTGCCTGTGGTTCTAATATTTTCATCTACAAAATCCCAGAGAGAGATAAAATGTACAGTATTATTTTCAGATCAGTCACAGTCAGTTTTCCACACCTGTGCTGGATGTATAGGTTCAAAGGGCAGTGTGTACATAGTGACTCTTTTTCCATGCACCCTGTCTGGAGAGGCAGAGATGCTCTGAACGGCCACCCAGGCAATATCTGGATGGGAGGTATTTCTAGTCACAATCCTAACGCTGTTGCAGTAGCAAATCCACACTTATCGGTTGGTACAGTGCCTAAAACAAATTCTGAGACTACTGATTTAAAACCAGATCATCTCGTACTCATACCATCCCTGTGCATTCATGGGTTGGCTTTCCACAGGTCAATAGATTCCAGACTACTTTTGAACTTAACACCAGCTTTCCCCTGTGGTGTAAAATATTTTGAGACCCAAACTGTGCAAGATACAGGGTTAGAGTTGCAATTGCAAGCACAGCCTTCTATGAAGGTCAGATCAAACGCAGGGTTAGAATTAAAGAACAAGGTGCTGCAGGAATACGACCTCGTGCTCCAGACCATGCCCAGCTCCTGCGGCCAGGCACAGCAGCGAGGTGGACCATGGACCAAGTAACTGGTTACTTCTCAGGCTGGGATTAGGAACATGATACCTCATATACCTGAACAGGCGACATAACAGCAGGGGAGCTCCAGACTGGTGTCAGTTTTTGTGACTCATGTCCCACGTCTGAACTTGACAGATTATGAGACTTTTCATCTCCCAGGAACATCTTTGCTAATTGACATACAGAAGTGAAGACTCAAGAGACGTTCTAGTTTTTTGGGTTTTGTTAAAAAGCGTAAAGACTGGCATGTTAAGAAGAGAAAGGTCTTCATGAAAGCTAAATCAAAACCCAGAATCTCATTTCGCCTTTCCACTTCCAGACAAGGCTGAATTCAGGAACAAACAGCAAGCAAGAGAGAGCTTAGAAATGAAAATAAGAACATTTTCATTACCTTTTCTGCAAGCCAGCCTAGATGCCTAATCTCTCGACTTCCAGCAATCCCTGCTTTACCCAGCTGGTCTCTGACCTCTGCAATCACCCTGGGGATGAGCTCATTGACACTGGAGTGGATGGCATTGAACCAGGCCTGGGCTGTAGCCGAATCCTTACTCCTGAGCACCACGGTGTGCTTGGCATCAGGTGAATGAACTTCAATAAGTCTAGAAAAACAGAGGGGGAAAAACATTATGTTCATTCAGATACCATTAGGCAGCTAAATATATTACCTCGTTTAGTGTTAGCAATGAGTTAAAAAGAAGGATATCAATATCAAGACCTAGCATTAAAAACTTACCTTTACAACACTTGAATAGAGTAGGATCATCATAACTGAAACCAGGTCTGTATTGGCATTATGGTAAAATCCTTGAGAAGGGGATTTGCCAGTGCTGATGCAATCCCACATCTAGCATGTCAATAGTAGTTTATATTTAAAGGCAAGAGGAGCATTCACTGGTTAACATTCACCGGCATGGCAACCGCTCAGAACTGCAAGGGAGATGACTGTAAAGAAGCCAGGGATAAGCCTCTGCCTTCTTTAGCTGGATATCACGGCACACCCAGAGTTTCAAAATGTGTTTATTTTACACATACAGAGCTAAATGAAAACCACTGTCATCCCAAATGGAGGAGTTTTCTTAGGATTGTGGTGTGGTTTTAGTGACACCACTAAGCATCAGCCAGAAGCCCACCGCAATTGGCTTTCTCTGGGAGTTACCAACATCCTCAATGCTCCATTTAGATCCTGCTAACAGTGGCAGCAGGGAAGTGCTAACCACAACCATATGTTTGCTGCTGGCAGGCATCTTCTACAGTTTACCAAAGTCCTGTGGAGAGATATTTTTTTTTTCCAAAAAAACCATGCTTACCAGACCATGCTGTGAGGTTCCACCCCACCACTGTGGTTTGAAAAGCACAAACGAACACAGTTTTCAGGAAACTGAATCCTGTCCATCGTGGTTATGAGGTCTATGCCATCACCTTTGCTAACAACAACAAAAACAACAACAAAAACACTTTGACAGGCAGCTGCAGCTATTTCAGCTCTGTTCTCAGTGAAGTTATTAGTTATCAGTGGGACTTCATGTGCTGTTTATAGCTTTGTGGACCACTTTCACTTGAACATTTGTTAAATAACTCACAAAGTAATAGTCTGGTTTATCTTTATGTACCAATTGTAAAACCAACCCTGGGTCATTGCCCATCGCTGAACTCTGTGTCACATTTGTGCTTTTCCATTATACATGTACAGTGACTGCCGCTGAACGTTACCCGCACAAGTTGAACCTGGGATTTGAGTCTAAGCGCGTACTTCTGTCCTACATATTGCTGCCCAGTCTCTGGGACACACAATGACTCCTTTCTGTAGCAGAAAAGCAATTAGTTCACAGTGGAACCTATTCAGGTTGAGGTTCAAAACAGTACTGTAATGCACATATTTGTTATCCAATTACAAAATCCTGCAACTTGGAGCTTAACTAACAATTAAGAGGTTTTAATGAATTGGTTAAACCAGTGCAGAATCCAGAACAGAAGGCAACTTGATCTGTGCAGTTCTCTGGGGCTCGGAGAGCAAGGACCACAGGTCTCATGTTTGTCCATTTTGGGAAAGGGAGGTCTTCACATAGACACTGCTCTAAAGATAGAAAAGGTCATGATTTTCCAAACTCAGCAGCTGAACTGTTCAGGGTCCTAAATCGCTGTTTGGATAGCTTAAAAAGTGGGTTGATTTTTCAGACAGTGCTGAGCCAACACAATAATGCATGTTTCCTTAGTAAAGCTGCTGGAGCTCAGCACTGTCTGAAAATAAAGGCTCTTATTTAGTCACTCCAGAAGGCACCGAGGATTCAACTTCAGGTACCGAAAGAAAAATTCCTTGTCAGATAATGCAGGTCTGGTGAATAAGAAAACCATGTTTGTGGATAGGCACGTTCCCAATCACACTCATTTTTTCTGAACTGCAAGAAAAAGTCATCTCCCTGATGGTTAAGATTCAGCCATTTGTGTCCAATGATCATCACAATCATGCACAGCTACCACAGCCTGGTCTGTCTTTCCTTCAGAAACACTGGTCTCCCACTGCCGAATGAACTTGAGTTTGAACTTGTTCTTGTAGGCAGCTATCAATGGAAAGAAACTATACAGACCTGGATTTTCAAAGTACACTGTGGTAATCGGTGAAACATTGCTTATTACTTACACAGCACCTTTTGGCAGGAGATCTCACAGCATTTTACAAATGAGGCCAGTGAGAGCATCCCCATTTCACCACCAAAAAAGTGGAAAGGCGCATAACTCAGACAAGGCAGGGAACAAGCCAGGAGCAGCACTTGGGATTTTCTGCACACTACCTCCCATTTTAACATATCTTTTAAAGACAAAAATTATTTGGACAGCACAGTAGTATTGTGCTGGTTTTGAAAAATGTTAATGCACCATATGGATTGTGTGAAACAATGCTCTTTACAAAGCCTGTGGTTTCTATAAGGGAACTCCCGCCTCCAAAGTTGCTGTGTATCGTGCAGTAAACAAAGTGCTGAACAAGAACTATAAAGACTTAGAAGAATGTGCTGCTTTTTCAGTTGCAAAGGAACTTTGCAACTTGCATTTCTTTTTAAGTTAGAGTTGTAGCAGGCTTTGGTTTAAAAATCAATTATCTAGAGCTGAAAGAGCTTCCACATGGCAATTCACTTCCCTCCAATTTGGAAAATGCTTAAATTCTTACTTAAAGAAAGTGAACTAACATACAAACACATATTTTGCTACTTGGGCCTTCATCAAAGTGTATTTCCCTTGATGGCGGCTATTTAAGTATTTGTACAAGAGTTCTGTCCCCTAAAATAATGAACATTTAGACAGCTCTTAACAATTCTGTTTAAGGGATCCTAAACTATGCATATTGTAATATATACACATTCTACTGTGATATCAACGTCTATATTCTAGTACATATATAGAGATACAGAGCCATGTTTGCAAAGATACTCTTAAAATATTGTCCCTCAGTGACTTCTAATGGGGCTATTTTGAGGACTGCTTGTCAGTCATCAAAGTTCGATGGTGATGCACTAACAACTGCGTAAAGTCTGCCTTGTTCCCCAAGCTGAGTGACAGGAAGATTGGAGAATACATGCTACACTTCTGAAAAGTGAGTTCAAAATGGGAATAAATGTTGCTTTGACAGCCCTGAAACTGAATCCTTTTATGCATGGCACTGGTCCAGCCTGAAGAATACGTCTGCAAGTATCGTTCTTGTGCAAGCTGCTAGGTAGGGCACCTTTTTTATCCATACCTTGAGGACAAAAGTCTAAATCCTCAACTGCTTGAACTCTGCTAGTGCCTATTGCTACAAGATCTGAGCACTAAACTATCCTTAGGAAACTGGGCTTGCAGATTTCCACTAAAGGTCCAGGACTCCTGTCTCCACAGTCAGTTGGGATGGAGATACTAAAAGAAACTTAAAATTTTCCCACAAACCCATGGGCTCTGACTGCAATCAGATGCTGAAAGCGCTTCCCTATAAACTCTCCCCTTTTCTGCCTTTCAGCCTATGCTGCTTTGATTCACCATTTGGATGACGCTTTTTGTGTAACAGCTGACTGATAGCATTTCCATATTTTTTGAAAAGCAAAAAAAATACCAGTAACCTTAGTAAAATCCAACACTAAAGCACTTAAATGTGCTGCAGTCCAGCCATTGTAGCTTTGATTTGTTCCTTGGCTAAACTGACCACCGCTTACTGACTTCTGTTTATCTGCAGTTCAGTGATAAAGTTCCCTTAATTCCCCACTGACTTGAAATATTTAGGGCAATGCCACAGCTGTGTTTATTCTCACACTCCACCACAGTTATGTAAATACTGCATATGGAGCTGTTTCTGATAAAGCCCATACCAACCCAAAGGAATTATATGTTAGCTCTAGATGGCTGCCAAGATGCGCGGCATCTCTCCAGCTTGGCAATGCATATGAATGATATCACATTTTCTCAGAGATCATTTGGCAAACCTCATAATAAAAGAGTAATTTTCTCTTTCCTTCTCAAAGAGTCCCACTGAGCCGAGGAGTGTTTCCAGCATCCCATTCTCCACCCGCAGAACACAGGGGTGACACAAAACCCGGCACCTCCAAATGCCAGAACCTTGCACATAAGAGGCCAAAACTCCCTCCCTCACTTCATCATCCAGAGTTATTACTTTACAGAGAATCAGAAGAAGTTGAAAGCAAATGTTTGATAGACCATATTAATTCTATGTTTGATAAGGCCTTTTTCTGTAGGAGTGTTCATTACCTAAGAAATACCTTTCATCAAATCTCTTGAAAGCACTTCTCCCACCAGCGTTGGCTCAGGGCCAAATCAGGGACTGATTTACACTTTACACCTCTTCCTGGGTCAGACTATGCATTCAGTGACTGATTAAAGTGTGGAGTAAATCCCTTGAAGTTAATGATAAGCTGGAGCCAGAGTTATTCAAGTTCATCATGTTACTTTGATTTTGCACCAGCACAGCCAGGAACAAAACACTCTGCCACTGACTCTGCAAACTTTAAAAGGGATCAAGGGCCAAACTGCTCATTCCGTCTCCTCCATCATTGTCTGCACATGAAACCACAGTAAGTAATTTTGTTGATTTCTGAGCGTACAAACAGAGGAACCTTTCCAGCATAAGGGGTGAGTTAGAGGAACACAGAAATTACATTCAAATAGTTGCAGGGTTTGTTATAAAATAACTAAAAAACCCTGTTAAGGGTCTTTTTCAATTCTACATGCAGCATCAGGAGATGAACCAGGAATAAAATACATTAAAATTAAGCAATGGAAACTTTGGGTTTAGTCTGCAAGGAAAAGATTCCATATAGAGACTGTTAGGCTTGCAACAAATTCCCCAGCATACACTGAAGAAGCATTTTCATCTGATGCACCTAAATGGAGGTGAAAGCAATTTTACCAAGTGAGCGCTATTTGGTAATCAAGTGGAATTTTTTCTGTGTGAAAGTCTCTCAGTCCCCTTGCTGTCTGAACAGTTACTTGCTGACTTTCAACTTACAGTGGTGAAAATGATGTAGATATTCTTTTCTTGGGAGCTGGACTAGACTGATGTCCAAACAGAGGGTGTATATACCACTAATGAGCTGTCACAGTTGATTTCATTTCTATTTGC